ATCCTTGGTGCCACCTTGCTTTTATATGATTTTACGTTTTTGTCCTTCTTCTTGGATGCAAGATCGACACAGCCAGACATGTTGTGACGTTTTATCTTTTTTTTGGTAGGCAGCCGTTACGACAAGACTTGTCGCGGAGTAGTTTCGTTCTTCATGGAACTAAGTCGATCAACATTTTTCTAATTACCTTACAAGCCAATTTGGATGTAAAAATCATTTATAACATGGTGACAGGAAAACAGGTAAATCGGTGTCATATTAATAAAATCAAATACAATATGCAAAGTGTACAAAATACAATGTGATCTTCGATGTGTTAGGAAAGAAAACGGAGTCAAGGTGTCACTCACATTAATATTGCGCTTAGATAAGTAAAATCGATTAACTCTTCTTTATGTTTACATGTTTTTTTATTTTCATTTATATCAAGATATGATATATTTTTAAATTGGTGAGTAAAGCTTCGCAGTCTAACTCTTCTGAATCGGCCGCTCTAATACAAATCTCATGTTGAATAGTCCTGCGACGCTTGCCAGCGAGTCCCCACTTCACAACTGCACATTAATATCCCCCATGGCCCTTGGTGGTTAGATAGGTTGCTGATAAAAGTCAAAAATGCGCATTTTTTCACAAAACCGTGTAAGTTGCACACAGGCAAAAATGTGCGAAGAGTAAATAAAATATAGAAATAACAGTTAAATCATGATAAACATGAAAATATTAATTCAGGTAATTTATAAAATGAAACATGTGATATAAAAGCAACGACATACGATAAATATATATTTTTTTCTTACCACATAATATTATACGTAGCATAAGTTTTATGTAAGTGCTAAAAACTGTTATGAATTGAAATGTAGTGGTTAATAATCAGGTATGATTGAAAACGTGTAAAACGGGCCATGTGTTAAGCGATGTAGAAATATTATTGACAATCGAGTCAAAAGTAGAGAACACATCGTGCGTATGCAGCATAGTCCTACATTTTAAGTTCACACGTTTTCCATTTGGGTAGCCTTTCCCAGGGTTAAATAGATTTAATTTTTCCAATGGACTTCTTGAATGTTGTAAATTGAATCGCAAACTTAATGCACTTCTATTTTAGAATGCCGACATAATATGATAAATTATTGGTTCTAACATAAAACGTCAGCTCAAATAGAAACAAAGGCACAGTTGAATGAGACGACATTCATATGTTGGAAACAAATCATTAATCATTACTACTATGTGTATACATACACGCAAACGCAGACGCTCACGTCCCTATTACAGTCGCATATGTCACGTAAAACATGCACACAGATGCATATTGCGAATACATACAGACAAATATAATGTTACGGTAAAATAAACAAATTGAAAACCGTTCAGTTAATTCTTTGAGCTTTTTTTTTCAACATTCTCTCCATATTGGCACCTTTTTCGAAACCACATCAAACTAGTCATACGTCATTACCGGTGCACATGTGTTAAAGATGCAATTATTACACGAAAGGTATAGAAATAAATCATCAAAGGCAGTCGTATGTGTGCCCAGGTAGATGTGCATATTAGGTGTTTACAAAAGTCTTCATCACTTTTTACTTGGAAAAGTAAATTATTGTGAAAAATTGATACAATATGTAGTAATCAGAATAGTTTCCATCCTTTTCTATAACATTTCACAATATTTTTGGCAACATGGCGATACCGTGTCGAAAGAACTTATATTGGCTTGGCAGCGATCCACCCGCCGAATCCATTTTCGCATTTGTTCAACTTTGTGGACCTGCGTACCAAGCCACGGTGCATTGATTTGAGCAAGCGGTAATCACAAAGCGCCATGTGTGGTGAGTGCGTTAGGTGTGACAGAACTTTCCATTCGAGCTGCAACGGTGCATCCTGGACAACTCTTGCAACATGTGGTCCAAAAATAGCATTTTCAGGCAATACGCATCCCAAACCGTTGAACCTAAAATCGACATCAGCGTCACCGTAGGCCTTTGAACCTGCTTTATGGGTTTCGGCGGCAGATTGCTTCGAATAAACAACAAAAGTAATGAATTTGGAAGAAGAAGAATTTTGGGGGATCCATGAGTAGCGTTGGGGTACGCTGAATTAAACAGAAATATTAAATGAAAAATTATTATATTATGTAGAGGAAGGCCAAAGACATCGAATTCAACCGTTATGTATACTTATTTTCCCATTTGTTTATCATTTTGACCGGAGAAGTAGCCGAACAAAATTTTTGTTAACACCTAATACATGAAATCAAAATCAGTTACTCATACGCCTATTAAGCAAGTTTAAAAAAAAATAGAAGAAAAAAGTGAATCCTTCTCATATCAGATACTATCCACCACATCTATTATACATGATTTATTTGTGTTAGTTTCTCTTTTTTTTAATATTTAAAAAAATGCTAAAGTATAGGAACTACTTTACATAAGAAATATTGTATATAAAATCAATATTTTTTCATGCATTTTTTATGTAAATATATATATTTATACATGTTATTTCCTTTTCCCAACACCTAAAAATTGCGTTACGTACATACTTAGCTTACTACATTTTATGCATAAGTAAATCCATTTGAATACAGGTAAGTGTCGTCTTGAGTAGTCTCAAATGTTAATTCTTTGGTAAATTATGATAATTCTTTGAGAATTACCCTTGTTAATATAATAAATAATTTAAAAAAAAGACACATTGGTTATCGTAGCGGAAATAATTTTAATTACTTCTGGGTGATGGTATCTATTAACGTCAATGTATTTTAGACTATTCGATATGGTTACGAATCTAATTCATTTAATTATCCCAAATAGAATTCCACCTTCAGAATCGAATCTTTCCTATATACCCAAGTTCTTCCGTTGCGTTTGTAAAAATGCATTTATTTTATTTTTTTTAAAGCAAGGGGTAACACTAACTTGTTCTATGGGACTCGTAGCTTCTAAGAAAACATGTTTTTTTTTTTTTTTTAAATACGTAAAACAATAAAGGGAATTATTTTCCTATCGGGAAAATTATTTTTTATTACCTTTTTTTAAGTGAATTTCCCCGCACATATACATCAGCAAGAAAGAAAGGGAACAGAAGCGGAGTACTGCAGCCTGGAAGCAATTAAACCCTCCTTGATCGACTTCTTATCTTTCAGGCTCTCCCGTAATGATAAACACAACAGTTTTTATCTTTTTCTATCGTCTTTAGTATCAGTTAGTAGTGTGTAGTTACTGAACAGTTATTAGTAAAGAGATATTTTATAGGCCCATTCTCAAGAGAAGAGACTCAATATACCAGTTATTTCTGCAGTCTAAAAACCATTCGATACCAGGGACTCCTGGGAAAAATTTTCATTACAGCACAAGATTTTTTTCATGATCATATGACCTCAACTAACAGGATAACAAAAAGTTGTATAAACACAACTTTTATGTCTTACACCATTTGTGGCACAAGAGCATGTTAAGTTCGTGCAGATGTATGCCACACTAAAAGTGACTTCAGATGAACCGTCCTTTTATTTTGCTCTCTGAACTGGTCTAAGCCTGTCTGACCGTATGGCCGTCTGTCCGCATTGCAAATGCCCCAAATCGAGTCACGTTTTCGATCAATTTCCGTATAATGCCTTAATTTTGAAAAGTAGCCGTATGAACAACTACAAGGTGGCGTAGAGGATTTAATAATGGATCGGCGGCCACTACAATATTTTTACTTCACCAGCATGATATTAGTTTTGTTTTTTATGATGGTAAGAAACCTCTGTATCACATACATGCGGCAGCTGGTAGCGAAAGTACTAATCTCCGAGAGTGACTAAACCACCTAAAGCCACCAAAATAAAACTAAGTCCATTCCACGGATAAACTCATTAATTTAACACGTTATAACTTAAGTTGACATCTAAAACCAGATTTCTATATACACTACGGTTATAACACGATATACGTATCGGAGGATCGACAAGAAATTCTTATTCGAACTATAAACATGTTGTATAAGATAAAGTAGAAAATGTTGGTTGTCTATAAGAAGATATATGTAGTGTTTCTGAACATGAATATCTGCGTTATTGTGTAGCCATCTGTTTGAGTAAACGAACATGATTTTGATATTATTACACATGCAACCAACCACACACTAGCCTTTTTATCATGCACGACAAACAAGAATCGATAAGCTGACATACTAGGTAACGGTTACAAGTGGATTTGCATGCTAATGTAACTTGAAGTCAAGACAAGTTTTTCTATTCGATTTTTTTTTTAAATAAACATGACTTTTAAAGGTAGTTGCATGTGTATGTGTGTGCGTTGGAGTGCATTGGTATGTATATACTCTTGAAAATAAGCAAGGGAATTGAAATTGTTCTGTAACATATTCTGTATATATACATATTGTTAACTCCTTTTTCTTCTTCTAAGTTTTCACAACTCTTGCAGGTAATTGTATGCTTAAGAGCTTGTGAACAAAAAATTTTATATTTTTCATCCACTTTTTTCGGTTCCTTCTTTATTTTTGCTGTTTTGTTTATTATGATTGCCATCCTCAAAGAGGCAGTTAGTTCTTGCTCCAAAAAGGAAGAAGAAGCAGTTATTGAATATTTTTCAAAATTCAACGCTTGCTTATGCATTTGGTTTTCGTTCATTCATCGATAATAATCTTTGGGACTTTATAAACAATAAAATAGCAATAAAATCAATTTATAGTTTCAAATTTTTACTAAAACTGAGGTGACCATACAGAACAAAATTAAGAAATGGGATGCTGCCTTTAGCATTTTGTTTTTTTCGTTCACATTATGAAAACATATGGGAACAATATGTAAATATAAATAAAAAAAATTATGCTATAAAGAGAGAGAGAGAGAGAGAGAGAGAGAGAGAGAGAGAGAGAGAGAGA